AATATGCCTGTGTCTGCCCCCCACCCCAAACACACACACCAGGTAATGGGATGAAAGGCAAGCACCAACATGTTCAGTGTATTTTGGTTTGGTTAGTGTAACACCAGACTTAATGAAAACAAGACACAGAATGTTACCACTTTCCCAGTTCTTTGAAAGTGTTTACCTAAAACTGGGATAATTTTTTCCTGGAAAGTTTTAATAGCACTCATATGGAAAGCCTCTGAGCCCAGTATTTCAGATGAGAGTTTGAACTACTTTGTATCATCTGATGGCTATATACACATTGAGGTTTTTTTGTTTCTTCCTGAGTCAGCTTTGGTAACATGTGCTTTTTGAAAATTCTTATCTAATTGAGGCGTGTGTGTGTGTGTGTGTGTGTGTGTGTGTGTGTGTGTGTGTGTGTGTGTGTGTGTGGTCTGTTCTTTGGAACAAGGTCGCACTCCATAGCTCATGCTGGCCTCCAGTTATGATGCTCCTCCCTCCTAACCCGTGCAAGTGCTGAGATTATAGACATGAGCCACCAATCAGTTCTTTCCGTCCACCTTGTATTGTTGCTGTTTGTTTGACACAGGATCTGTCTTGTCATTTGTGTCACTGTGCTGTGTACCAGGGCTTTCCAGCAGATTCTGTCCCTTCTCCTGTCTTCCATAGGAGTATGGGATTACAGACTAGAGCCACTGAGTCGGGCTCTTTGCATGGATTCCCAAGAGCAAAGTTGGGTTGTCCAAGTTGTACAGCAAGTACTTTTATCTGCTGAGCCAATGTGGTGGTTTGAAAGAAGACAGCTCCCATAGGCTTATAGGGAGTGGCACTGTTAGGAGGTGTGGTCTTGTTGGAGGAAGTGTGTCACTAGGAGTGGGCTTTGAGGTTTCAGAAGCTCAGGCCAGGCCTAGTGGCTCACTGTCTCTCCCCGCTGCCTGAGGATCCAGATGTAGGACTCCCAGCTACCCCTCCAGCATCATGTCTGTCTGCATGCTGCCATGCTTCCCGCCATGATGAAAAAAAGGACTAAACCGCTGAACTGTAAGCCAGCCTCAATTGAAATGTTTTCCTTTATAAGAATTGCGGCAGTCATGGTGTCTCTTTAGAGCAGTAGAACCCTAACATGGACAGCCAGATCACTGGCCCGGTGTTTGTCTTTTTTATAACTGCTTTAACTCTAATGATGACACCTTTTGGTTAAAATCATTTAATTGTATCTTTAAAAAACAATATCTTGATCAGTCTTGTCATAAGCTTTCTTGCCATACTCATGTTTATATCTCTGTTCTGTATTATATACATTTTTGTTTGAATTTTTAAAAAAAAAAAATCCCCTCTATATTGGTGGCCTTATTCTGATATTCATTCTCTCTAGCTCACCCACATCCTCTGTTTTCTCTGTTTTTGAAATAGGGTCTCACTGCACAGCAAGGCTGATCCTCCTGCCTCAGTCTCCTGCCTCAGTCACCACATTCAGTTTAGTTCTAAGATCTTCAGACAGTTAACTAGTAGTTTTGGATCCTTGTCTTTCCTCATAGGATTCTATAAAATATCAGTGTCCCTTATAGCATTGTTCTGTTATAGCTCATAAAAACTGACATGACATCCTTTCAACATTTCATTTCTAGGTGGTTTTTAATTCATATCATTCTCTAAAACCCTTAGGGGTGTTTGGGGGTAGATTTGTTTTTGTTTTTGAGACAAGGTCTCACTTATTAGATGAGACTGTGTTTGAACTCATGGTTCTCCAGTCTCAGCTCTGGCAGTCTGTTCTAAAATTCCAAACATGTAAGCATGTTGCTTTCTTCTCTTATAATAATTTGTTTTGTTTTGTGTAGAGACGGGCTGTCCACATAGCCCTGGCTATCCTAGAACTCACTGTGTAGATCAGGCTGGCCTTGAACTCACAGAGACCTGACTGCCTTGTTACTGAGACCGTATAGCCACAGTGTGTGTCCACATGGTGTCTGTTCTTGGAAATCTGTTGGCATGTGCCTTGGGGCCAACTAAAGATAAAATTTTATAAATATTCTCCTTGTGTGTACTGATTGGTTTTGTGTGTCAACATGACACAAGCTAGAGTCATCACATAAGAAGAACATCAGTTGAGGGAATGCTTTTTTCTCAATTAGTCATCAATGGGGGAGGGCCCAGTCCATTGTGGGTGGGGCTATCTCTGGGCTGGTGGTCCTGGGTTCTATAACAAAGCAGAATGAACAAGACATGCTAAGTCATCCAGTAAGCAGCATCCCTCCATGGCCTCAGCATCAGCTTCTGCCTTTGGGCTCCATCCCTGCTTGAGTTCCAGTTCTGACTTCCTCCAATGATGTGGAAGTGTCAGCCAAATAAACCCTTTCCTCTCCAACTTGCTTTTTGGGCATGGTGTTTCATCACAGCAATGAAACTCTAACTAGGACAGTGTGTTCCAAAAGGTATGTCCCCTCTAGTTGTCCACTAGGGGTATGGAGTTGAATCTGTAATGAATGGGATAGAATGATTTTAGTTCCTAAAGTGCTTCATCAAAACCAATATTTGGTGTATATATATATATATATGTGTGTGTGTGTGTGTGTGTGTGTGTGTGTGTAGAGCTTGAGAGATAATGGCTCACTCAAACACCATAATCCATGAATTGTAGAAAAAGGAAGAAAAAAAAAACCCCACAAAACTAGGAAGAGAGTTATCTTAGAGAAGGAAAGGTTAAAGGTTAGAGTTAATGAATGCTCTTTAATTTTTCTTCAAGGGGCCAGGGCTAGACGTCAAAGTCAGGGCCATAATTCATCTGCACACCCCTCAGATCCATTTCCAACATTAACACATTAAATAACTGACACAAGGAATGAAGCAAGATGGAGAAGGCATTATCCTTATCATGCTGTCCGGATTAGTAAGTTATATGTGACTTTTATAGCATCCCTAGGTGAGGATGCTGATGCAGGAGCAGGTACCAACTGACTTCCAGGAAAGGGGACATCATCATTTGGCCTCCAGTGCATTCACAAATTAAATCACATACTTCAACTTTGTCTTAAAATGCCAAAACTCCCACTTGTATTTTTTCCTCTCTCCTGACACTTTCAAATATAATGGAAAGGATCTTATATTAAATCCATAGGAAGTAAGGGATGGTTCATACTTGCTGGGGGTGGGGAACCTATGATGGGAAAATCTATTTCATTTTAATTAATTGTGCTATATAAAAACACGTGTTTTCTTGTTTGATCTGTACATGTCCATGTAAAAGGAGCATAACTCTACTCCTTTTCTGTTGAAGTCAGAGCGCTATTGAGGCTTGTGTGATTCTGATAAAGGAAGTATATAATGGCATCCTAGCAACTTCCACTTATACACAAGAAAGATGTTTCTGAGCATCCCTGACCACATGTGACGTGAGCTTTTAAAATACACTTCAAATTGAGACGGACTTTAAATGTAACGCACACATCAGGTTTCAAAGAATTAGTAAAAAGAATGTAAAATGCTTACTAATCATTATTTTATAGTGATTACAATTTGGGTTGAATATATTATGAAAATGAATTCTGTCTGTGCTTAAACTTTGTGACTACTAGACAAAGTTTGATTACATGTACACAGTGCCTTATATTTCTATTGCATTAATACCACCTGAGATGGATGAGTTAAATAGAATTTAAAGTGCCCTGGATAATGAATAGTGCAAAAATGATCATGAACAAGGACTTAGAAGTTTTATTTCTAGTATTCTAAAATGAAAACTACTGGGTTTTGAAACTCCAGTCTTTGGTTTTCTGAATTTTAACTGAATTCAGAGTCAAACCTAATATATTCAGTAGTCTTTGTTCTACAAAATATATGTAATGAGTGTTTACTTTTAGCCAAGTGTGTTGGGTGTGTGCCTGAAATCTCATCACTCAGAGGAGTGAGGTATAGCATAAATAATAAAAACCCAGAGACAGATATTGGGGTTCAAGCTGAAGATCAGAAAAGCAAGACAGTCAAGCCACCAGCTCTTACCTCTACCTCAGACTGAACCCAACTGCATTTGTCTCCACCAAACTTTAGACTCCTAGTCTGCAATGCTCCCCACCGAGATTCCCAGACTGCAGCCTGAGACTGTATTGTAATTTAAGAAAAGCAGAGCACGAGAGAAAGACACCATGTAATGGAGTTCAAGCAGAAGGGTTTTTATTAGGGAAAGGGATCATAAAAGGGGAAAGGAGTGGGGAGACCAGCCTCTGGAGACAGGAGCAGCAGGAAAGAGGAAAGAGAGGTGTGTGGGGGTGAGGGGGGGGGGGGAGGAACGGCCAGAGAGGGCAGGGGAGGGGAGGGGAGGTGGGCAGGGCCCTTTTAAAAGGGAGCTTAGTGAATGTGCACAGGAGGCCTTCTGAGTGGCTGCAGCTGAGGGTGTATCCTGTTAGAACTCCAAGGACAGGCCAGTACAGATGCCTGAATACTAACAGACTGCACTGAGTTCCTGATAGTCTCTCTAGTTCTGGGATTAAAGGTGTGAGCTTTGTTTTTCTTTTAGACTGATTCACTCTCATGGAGCCCATGGTGGCTTTGAACTCACAGAGATCCCATCCACCTCTGTCTCCTGAGTCCTGGGATTAAAGGTGTGTGCCACTACTGCCCAGCTCTTATGGCTGTGGCTAGCTTTGCATTCGATCTCCAGTCAAGCTTTATTAGATCATAAACAATATATTACCACAGTGAGGCAGCTGGTTCATCATGAATTTGAGGCTAAGCTGGGATATATAGTGATTTCCAAGCTGTCCAGGGCAAATGTAGCAAGATCCTGTTTCAAAATTGAAAACGAATAAGGGGAGGACTTACTTATCACATCATTTTAGTGCCTATGGACTGAGCAAGTCCTAACCAGCCAGATTGACAAGTAGTGGCCATTGTTAACCTTACTTTTAGCTCTAGGTTCACTTTCAAGGGAGGAAGCTCGGGTATCCCCTGACCATGTATAGAGTCCCTAATGCAGAGGAGAAACTACTGTTAATATTTGCATCTCACCTTTTCCTCCACAGATACTACATCAATGGCTCGGACTATTCCATTTTTAGTACCAGGAGTTTTGTAAGTATTGAAATTATTTTTTAAAACATTAGTATTTTTGAACCTTCAGAGAGTTGGCCATACTCTGTTTTATAGATGTTTCGCCTGCCTCTCTCTTTTCTTCTCATTATCACGTGCCCTTAAATATGTACACAGCGCCATGTTTCACGTGGCTTGGATCTGCCACCCTGATTCAGGGAATGAAGAAAGGACAGACATGCATGGTAAAGCTGTGGCCAGGCAGGCTGTGCACTGCAATGGAGCTGTACCTAGGAATGCAACAACCTGGAACCTCATAATGCATGGGGAGGGTTTGCTAGTCTGTGGAGGAAGTCTTGTTTGCATTCAGCGAACAACTGTTTGTGAACATGAACACATGGACCAGAGGAAGAAGACTTTGCCAGCTTTGAGCCTGACCCGCATGGGGAACACTTCAATGGTTTCCTATGCTCCAGAGCCTCGGTCCTTGTCACAGATGTGTGCATGTTCACAGGACACATCACTTAGGACTTCATTCATCCAGGGTTTCTCCAGCTCCCTGCAATGTAGCATGTAAAAAGGAGTTCTTAATTGGTCTAAATAATAAAAACCCGGAGTTCAAGTTAATCAGCTGATCAGATTTTATCCCAATAATGTGGCCCCTGCTTCTTGAGTGCTGGGATTAAAGGTGTGTGCCACCAATGCCCAGTAATAGGCCATTCTTTACATAATAAAGAAGGCAAGGGAATTCCAGGCTGTAGAGAGCCCATTGGCTGAATGACTTTATTAATGGCTCTCAGGTCTGTAAGCATTTTCCATTTTCCAGATTTCTTTTTAATAACAAATACAGAAGAATTCTAAGGTCTAGTAGATTCTTCAATATTCCCAGAATTTAGCTGCTCCTGAACCAGCTGTTCTAGAGCCTCTAGCTTCTCTGTAGTCACAGGCCATTACATCACCCAGACAGGTTTTTCAGTTAGCCATTTTAAGGGTAGGACTTTTGGTCCCTCTATGAGTTCAACACTTGTTTTATTCTGTTTGTGTACAACCTGGATGGTCAGTGTCTGCTTTATATACTGCCTTATAACATTTTTTTATAAACAAGAGTTGGGTTATGGTTCGATAGAGATACTGGAGGAATGCTAATCTGTGTATTCCATTGCTGCAATAGATCACAGCCCCATAGATTTACTGCTACATTAGCCACATTGGTCCTCAGCCATCCCCTTTGTTCTTTTGGTCCCATCTCATGCTTTGTTTTACTTGAGATAGGTTTCCAGTCCCTAAGAATTGAACCTTCTGAAGAGGCCAACTTGGATGCCAAGATTCTGGGGTGATAATGGTAACATCTGTACCTGTGTCCAGTAATCTCTTGAGTATGACATTATTGATTTGTACTCTTAGTTTTGGTCTTTGGTCATTTATAGAAGTCTGCCGAAATATATGTTTTCTGTTTCCCCCTTGAATTTTTGATTCATCCTCCAAAGCTATTCTACCATTCAGAGCAGTATGATTTTTTTTACAATAGGCACTGCATTTCTTAATTGTTCTGAGGAGGACTGTCCTCCACAGTGACTGGGAATGACTGGACTAATTTCAACATGTGGCTTTCAAGAGCACCCCCTCAAAGAGTTTCCAGATGGTAAAGGTTTCCTTGCTTGTATCTGGTTGATCTACATTCATTGGTCCAGTGTCAGCCTTTGCCACATCTTCCACATAGTCCAGAAAGTTGGGGTCTTCTACTTGGGTTATTCCTAGAAGAAGCATTATTTCTAGGAATTCCTTGTCTGCAGTTTCTTCTCAGATGGCCTGTTCTAACACAATTAAAACATTTGGTATTTTGATGCCTCCTCATACCTTTGGAGATCCCTTCTCCTCCCCAAGCCTCAGTGTTATAGTAAGAAGACTCAACATTGGCTGTGTGGAGAGAGGATCCATTCATCCATTGGTGCTGATCTCATCTTTAAGGGCTCAAGCACCTTTTTGCATTCTAAATTAGCATTTTCAAAAGCCACAGATTCAATGAGTACTCATTTAGCTTCTGGATCTGAAACTCCTAATTGTACAGCTTTAGTCAATCTTAATAAAAAGTCACTAAAGCTTGTTTTTTTTTTTTGTTTGTTTGTTTGTTGGTTGGTTGGTTGGTTTTTTGTTGTTGTTTTGTTTTTCTTTTTTTTCTTTTCTTTCTTTCTTTCTTCTTCTTCTTTTTTTTTTTTTTTTTTTTTTTTTTTTGCCTTGTATAATCTTAGTATATGACTCAATTCTTTTCCCTGGTTCTTGACTCTTGTCCCTAGCATTCAAGCCTACTTTATGGCATAAGGACAAGATGTGTCCATTGTATGTAGCTTGAATATCTGTATCAGCATAAAGGCCCTCACCAAGAATGTGATGTTGAGAAGCCTTGTAACCTTTCATTCTGCCTTGATGTTCAAGGGCCTTGGCCTCTTCCCTCGAATATCACTTCCACTGCAGCTGTGGACCAAGTTCTAAAACTCCTGAGACTAATTAAGGCCTTTGAAGCTATTCTATCTCTTGTAGCCCATGCCTTTACTAACTTCTTCACATATGATGAATCCATGCCATAGAAACTACTGCTTCCTTCATATCTTTTTAAATCTTTCATATGTACAGGCTCCCATTTGCATCTGTATATCCTTCTGGGTTTCAATATTTGCTGGCTTTTGAGAAATAGTAACAGGATAGACCATAGCAGGTAATGATGATGATATGACTTTTGGTAAGTCATCTCTGACTCTGAAAGGTACTGGTGATGTTAAATCTTTTTTATTCTCTTTTGTTTGTACTTAACTCCTGGTACCAGGAGTTTAAAACTGGTACCAGTTTTAAAAAGGTCTTCTGTGGTTTGTAATCTGTTCACCATTTTTTTTGAAGTGTTTGAACTTCCTGAACTGTAAACATGTCCAAGGATTTCATTAAATCAGTCAGTTGCTTGTTCTCATTATTTACATATGATATCCTTAAAGATTATTTGGATGGCAGGTATTTGCCTCCAAAAACCAATGTTCTATCTACTTTAGACATGTTCCATTTTGTGAATTGTTTGTCAAAATATAATGGTCATTTTCAGTTGTATGAATCCTTTTTTGCTAAGCTCTCATTACAAGTCTGTAAAGTCTTTATCATTCCTCATTCTTAGCTCCATTATCAAACAATGGATTACCAAGATAATAGCAAATATGACTAATTTAAGTGTATATATCCCAGGTAGGTTGTATGCCGCTTTTAAAATTCTATCCATAGTAGACACGAAAAAGTTTTTAAATTGCCATGGAAGTAATTAACAAATTGCAAAAGAAAATTTAATGAATTTATTTATTTGTCATCTTAAAATGCAAAAATATCCAGTAATTTACTTCAAATTAAATCCTTAGAAGGTCATCCATGCCTCTTACAGTCTTAACTTTAAGTTGCAATAATGATGTTTGGCCAGCAGATGACGCCGGTGTACTGCCAAAGCAAGTCTAAGGGCACTGAAGCTCCAGTCTGACTTATGTCCAACCTTTGGATTCTAAGCAAAAACTCAAAACCAAACCTAATGGATTTTTGTTAAATAGAAAGGGAAAAGGGGGCAACCTTCATGCACTGATTGCCAATTACCAATCAGGACTTGGAAATGTGCACTGAATGGTTTGTGCCAGCTCCGGGAAGTCTAAATAAAGGCTGGGTCAAAGCACCAAATTCAAAGAAAAAAGTTCCAGGAATAGTGAAAGCCACTGGTGCCAGGTGGAGGGGAGGAGCAGGGAGTCAGGCATGGCCCGCTTGTGGTATGGCAGCTGGTGGCTTTCTTAGAGCAGGACAGGGTACCTCCTGGGGCAATTTGTCCCTGTCCAGACATTTAATGTTTGGGTCACATGGGTGCTAAAATGTAAAAAGGAGTTCTTAATTGGTCTAAATAATAAAAACCCAGAGTCAGATATAGAGGAAAATGCTGAGAGATCAAAGAGAAGAAGGAGTAAGCCACTACCACCTTTTTCCTCCTTGGCATCTCGGCAGTTCCTGTTTCTTTCTGCTTTTATCCTCTCTCCACCCAATCATCTCACTTCCTGTCGGTGCCCAGTCATCTCACTTCCTGTTTCCACCCAGCCATCTCACTTCCTGTTTCCACCCAGCCATCTCACTTCCTGCCTGTCTGTACAAACCTCCAAACCTCTGTGGTTAGCTAGTGGCAAGCTCCATTCTCTGTTCTTCAGACAGGCTTTATTTGTACAAGCAAGATACCACCACAGTAGCAAATAAATTAATCAATAAAACCCGCAGCAGTGCTGATGTATGCCTTTAATCCCAGCACTCAAGGCAGATGCAGGCAGGTCTCTGTGAGTTCCAGAACAGCCAGGGCTTCACAGAGAAACCCTGTCTTGAAAAACAAAATACAATAGATAAGTAAATAAATAATAGGCATTACTATTTTATTTATTATGTATAGTGTTCTCCCAGCATGTATGCCTGTATGCTGTAAGCAGCAAGTTCTCATTATAGATGATTGTGAGCCTCTCCCCAGACTGACAGTGTTATTTTACGTATTTTGTGATTTAATAGTCACAAAAGGTGTTATATATACATATATGTTACACATAATATATTGCCTATTGAGAAATAGAATAATAACTATTATTCAACAGATGTAAACTTATACCATTTGTAAACCAGAACTATAAATGTAAAGTCCTCTCAGCTATAGACCTCAGTCTCTTTATTACTTTTTTAAAAAATTAACACCACATCTAGTTCATTCTCTCTTTAAAATTTTCATGTACGTGAATATTCTATTTGCATATATGTAAGTGCACCACCTGTGTGCAGTAGTCTTGGAGATCAGAAGAGGGCTTTGGAAGCTGCAGTTATAGGTAGTTAGTTGTGAGCTGTCATGTGGATGCTGGGAACCAAACCTTCATCCTCTGGAAAAGCTGCAAGAGCTCTTAATGACTGAGCCATCTCTGTAGCCCTGTGAGAGGCCCCTCAAGGCATTTCCTGATGGCAAATTGTTACCTTGACTGTCCCTTGTTGACCTACATTCACTTGTC